CTTGTCACTTTACAACATATGATGAGGCCTTCACCTTCCATTTACCAGCAGAATGTGGATGTGTCTAACTTATTCATACTGTCTAATTATGAATATTTAACACTGTTATACTGAAAAGTATTAAAACAAAACTGCTGGTGTTAAAGTACTGTGTGTATTTTTATTTTAAGCCTTTGACTACAGTCTCTCCTGACTGTTCTATCTTCTATTAGCACAACCTGTTCTGTGCAGCCAACTGATAAATCTCTACCTCATTAAGGTCATGTTGTACATGTAAATCAGAAGTTGTTTAATTAGGGATTTAATTTTAATGGTAATATGCATTATGTAGAAACTGTTCAATTTTCCATGTTCAGTAGAATTTCACATTTATGTGATTGCTGCTGTTATTGTACACCAGAGGCATTGCTAGAAAAAGCTCGACTGGCACAGGCCCCTCATTACTCAAATCCACAACTATTTTTCTTGAAACAACTACTGGTTAAGGTAAAAATGTAGAGATATTAGTCTTTATGAAAATATTTTTGTGGCCCTGTATTGCACATTTCTTTGTATTCTTCTGCATTTCACAATAACTGACTGTCAAGCAGCCTTGGTTTACCTGTCAACAAATCATGAATTAAAAAAATTCAAAGTCACAAAATATATCAATTCTGCAATTACTTTGAAAATGTATTGTGAGAAAATGCATTAGAGAGCTAGTGGCGACACACCTGTCTTTGTAGAGGTCCCTGCACTGACATTTTTCTCCACACTCTCCCTTCCTTCAACAGGTTCACATCCTAATATTCTGGCTCATGTCTGTAGCTGGGGAGGGCAAAAATATAGAGACACCTCTGAATATAATGTAGTCCGGTACAACACCAAAAATAGCATCTGACAAATGGTACCCGAGATTCGTTGACAACAAAATTTTAAGAGTAAAACAAAGGAGCATATTATATTGTGACCACTGTTGTTTTATTTCCTTTTCACAAAAGGTAAAAATTAGATGAAAACACACTGGGACACTGGGGCAGCGCGGTGGTTAGCGCTGTTGCCTCAGAGTAAGCAGGTTCTGGGTTCGAACCCCGGCCAGCCTGGGGCCTTTCTGTGCGGATTTTGCATGTTCTCCCCGTGCTTGCGTGGGTTCTCTCCGGGTGCTCCGGCTTCCTCCCACAGTCCAAAGACCTGCAGCATAGGTTGATTGGTGTCTCTAAATTGCCCGTAGGAGTGGTTGTGTGTGTGAGTGGTTGTTCGTCTGTGTGTTGGCCCTGCGATAGGCTGGCGACCTGTCCAGGGTGTACCCTGCCTCTCGCCCGCAGCTGGCTGGGATTGGCTCCAGCCCCCCGTGACCCCGTTTGGGACTAAGCGGTTTAGAAAATGGATGGATGGAAACACACTGCATTCACCAAAAAAACTAGAGACCTTAGCTCCAAGGTCTCAATTTATCAACCAATGGCATTGTGCTGTTCTTTTCCCAATGTAGTCAAAAGATGTTTTTAATTGTTGCCTTTGCTTTTTTCGTTGTTTTTGATTAAATAGTTGTAACTTGTGATAACATAAGCTGTGATACCTGGAGAATGGGGAAAAGAAAAGACCAAACTTAATTTTGCGGTCGCTGAAGAAGAAAACAGACAACAAAAGTGCCTTTTATACAAGTTTCCGTGCCACATACACCCTATCAGAACATGAACACCACGGATATAGGCTGGATAGGATAATATGCCCATGACAACTTTCAAACTGTGGAGGGCAGTAATACGCCTTTGCTGCGTCTAGACTGCCGTACCGATGAAGCAGAAGAAGAAGAAGAAGAAGAAGAAGAAGAAGAATTGTGATTTATTTCAAATGAAATTACGTTATTAAAGAGTCTTATGATGAAAGTATTTGATCATTCGTAAATTGGATATTTCTTGTGGAGTAACAGTCAAACTAAGGTAGGTTTGCGGTTACTTGGAACCGTTTAGTTTCTGTTAAAATAGCACATAGCTAACGTTAGCAAGTGGATGTATTAGTACTGTACTACATTAGCATTGAGGCTAACGATGCTGCCAATCATGCATAGCATTGCAAGGGTTATATAATGACTAAGAATGTAATGCCAACAAATGTACCATTACTGTCGCTTAACCTTCACTCACAGTATAATTTTTAAGCGCAGCACATGTGAAGTCAAATGCACATGTTGCATCCTTGCTTTAGCGGTTAATTAGCTTCAGTTAGTGCTATCCCAGCATGGGTAGCTAATATTTAGTCCTAGACTTGAACCTTTTAGGACATTTCATAAGCAAAAACCCCAAACACTACAGTTCCAAATAAATAATTGAGTAAATGGTAACTGATAGTAATAGTAAATAGTTTATGAAAATGGTTAAATTTTAATGAAAAGTTAGTTGGAGCCTTATTTATGTAGTTAGATCGCACAACTCAAATTCTAAGTCTACAGTTTATGACATAATACACTATGTAAATCTTGCGCTGAAGATGTAAATTCACTTTTCTCTTAATCACCTGATTGATTAGTCAACTTTCTGGTGATTTTTTTTTACCTTAGGTAACAGGTTTGTTGGCTGATTTTGAGGAGGTAGCAGGTTGACCACAGCCACACTCACACACTTCACATAAGACCTGTGGTGTCCAGAGAGAGAAGGTTGAACACCTGCAGCAACTACCTCAACGCACACTAAGGAATCATTAGGAGTGGAAAATATTAGGCAAGTGAACATTTAATTCTAGAGGTTGATGCTCTGGAAGCAGGTCAGATGGGCAAGTGTAAAGATCTGAGTGACTTTGTCAAGGGACAGATTGTGATGGCTAGACGACTGGGTCAGAGCATCTCGGAAACAGCAGGTCTTGTGGGTTGTTCCCGGTCTGCAGTGGTCAGTACCTACCAACAGTGGTCCAAGGAAGGACAACCAGTGAACCGACGACAGGGTCATGGGCGCCCAAGGCTTATTGATGCACGTGGGGAGGGAAGGCTAGTCCGTCTGGTCCAGTCCCACAGAAGAGCTACTGTAGCACAAATATCTGAAAAACTTAATGCTGATTCTGATAGAAAAGTGTCAGAACACACAGTACATCGCAGCTTACTCCGTATGGGACTGTGTAGCCGCAGACCAGTCAGACTGCCCGTGCTGACCCCTGTCCTCCACCAGAAGCGCCTACAATGGGCACGTGAGCATCAGAACTGGACCATGGAGAAATGGAAGAAGGTGGCCTGGTCCGGTGAGTCACGTTTTCTTTTACATCATGTGGATGGCCAGGTGCACGTGCGTCGATTACCTGAGGAAGAGTTGACACCAGGAAGCACCACGGGAAGGTGGCAAGCTCGTGGAGACAGTGTGATGATCTGGGCAATGTTCTGTTGGGAAACCTTGGGTCCTGTCATTCATGTAGATATTACTTTGACACGTACCACCTACCTAAACATTGTTGCTGACCAAGTACACCCCTTCATGGCTAAAGTATTTCCTGATGGCAGTGGCTTCTTTCAGCAGGATGATGCTCCCTGCTACACTGCAAAAAGTGTTCAGGAATGGTTTGAGGAACATGACAGCGAATTCAAGGTGTTGACTTGGCCTCCAAACTCCCCAGATCTCAATCCAGTTGAGCATCTGTGGGATGTGCTGGAAAAACAAATCCAAGATATGGAGGCCTCACCTCACAGCTTACAGGACTTGAAGGATCTGTTGATGACGTCTTGGTGCCAGATACCAGAGGACACCTTCAGAGGTCTTGTGGAGTCCATGCCTCAACGGGTTAGAGCTGTTCTGGCAGAACAAGGTGGACCTACACAATACTTGGCAGGTGGTTTTAATGTTGAGGCTGATCCGTGTACACTAGGTGATGTCTATTCAGGGATAGACCCTAATATTTTTAAGCACTGGCCCCATGGGCCACCAAGCCCCTAAATTTGGTGGTCAAAGTTGGTTTTTGTTGGCCCAAATGTAAACGTATGTAAAAATGATACAGAAAAGGCAATTTAACACACGGTTCCATAACTGTGTCATTTCAATAAATGAAAAGACATGAACAGAACAAATATATGTAACTATTTGTTTAAACTGAAAACTCACTAATGTGTACACTGCAGTTTAAATCATGATGTCGGCTCACCTAGTGTACAGAAAAGAAAACTGGATCACAAGTGAGACACAAAGAAATTAATACCCATCTGGAATCTTCCTGTTTCCTGTGATTGTGATCATTTGCAGATTTTGTGTTTTGTAATTGGAGTACTGCCTTTTTCAGGTAAAACCTTATTGATTTGACAGTTTTTTTATTTTAATAAACATTAAAAATTGCCCAGTGACTCAGCATTTTATCTTATATCTTCACACAAACAGCAAGCACTCAACAAATTTATGTTATTCTTTTCCTGTCCTGTCATACATCAAAATAGCAAGACATGAGAATGTAATTTAGGGCTTTTTACAACCAGGTTTCCTCAGGCTTCAATAAGTTACATAAATTCAAGACTTGTGAAGATTTTAAATACTATGTTTAATACCAGTTTCATGGTCATACCAGCCAAAGAAAGAATACCAATGAAAATCAATTCAAATCTCTAAGTGGGTGTCATCATATAAAAACATTTTTATAAAATTTATATACTGCCACCAAAGGTTTGCATGCGCTTCCCCATTCAATTCAGTGGGACAGTATTTGAAAATAGTCATATTATTTAATCGGAACACTGTAAGGATACCATAAATGAAAACACAGTAATGATATTGTGAACATTTTCACATCCAGGGTTTACTTACTGGCATTTAGCTGCCAGTACTGTGAAATTCACAGCGACCCTTTTACAGTGAACATGAAGCCATTTAAAAGAGAAAACTTGAAACAGTACAACTCAGGTAATCTGATTTTTGTTTTGGATAATTATATTCCTGTAATCGCATGTAATATTGTTAAAGTCTTGTCAAAAATGATTTTTTTTTCATGCACGTCCTCCCATAGCAGTAATTATATGTGATGGCAGGTGGCAGTAGCGTCGCGGAGTCTCACGTGTGATAAGCAGGAGAGAAACGCCGAAGGAGAGAAGGCGAAGAAGTAGGCGACCATGTTGGTTTAAAGGAAGAAGAAATAGAGGCGATTTATTTAAAGAAAAAAATCAGTTATAAAAACGTGACTAACAAAGAAAGTAGTTGATCAACCACAAACTGACCATCTTCTGTAAAATAAACGATAAACTAAGGTAGGTTTGCGGTGAGTTGGAACCGTTCAGTTTCTGTTAAAATGCGAGTTGTTGTGAGCAGACTAGCACATGGCTAACGTTAGCAAGAAGAGTTACTTGTGCCAAATTAGCCTTTAGGCTAACCGTCTTGCTTTTCGTGCTAGCTATATTAACATTGCGTTAATGATTACATTTGCAAAAAAACAAACCATAATGGTAGCGGTATGCATTGTTATTGCTGTTTACACTTTATACCCAGTATCATTTTGTAAGCAAATTTAGTATTAAATTTAATGTGTTGCAATGGCTTTATGGTTTGATAGCTTAGCGCTAGTAGTAGCCTACCTAATGTTGTTTCTCTTGAGACCTAGCATTAACGTAATGTTAAATTATTGATTTTCAAAGGAAGATACGGGCCTAACATAGATACACAAATGGGGTTCACACCTCAGATTTAATTAGCGGTAACCCTTGTAGGAAAAACGACTGAAAATAGCCGTTAAAGTTAATCTAAAAGAAAAAACAAACAGTCGAGGCACAAGAAAATTAGCTAATGTAAAGTTTGACGACTTGCACCTTTTGACCGTTGATGAATTCTGATATCAAACTTAGTTTAAATCACCCAGAGCCTTTATCGTATATCAGTCCGATTTTAAATGTTGATATTCGGGTTGACTTAATCTGCCTATGAAGACCTGACGAGTTCACCGGTGCTATCTTAAACTAAGCCACTGTGAGTGAATTAGCGAAAGCCTTTCACTGTTCTAGCATGGTGGTTAGTGTTGATCACTGTTGCAACAAGAAAGAATGTTTTTGTCATTGTTTAGGTTTTTAATATTGCTGAAGTCGATTACTTGTCTTACGTTACCACAAACATAAAGTGATATATTAGTGAATTTGCTGATTGGTTCCCAGTCTGGCGGATAAAATAAATCTTAAGAGTTACCAGATTATTAATAGCAGGAAAGAAGAAAAAATATTTGATACTGGAGTTTATTTTTAAACTTCTGTTGCATCTTTAAATGTTTTAAGGAACATCTAAAATATTTTATATTAATCTGAAAAAGAAAAATTACTCTTACAGTTCAAAATTCATAGGTGTATTTAATGTTGGGCCACAAGTATTCCTATTTGCTTAGACTGTCTATGCATACATGGCAAATAAAAATCTTGACATGACTTGACAAGTAGAAATTCCTTATACTTTTATGGGGCACAAACACCACAGTTTGAGGATGTGTAAATGTAAATGGTTAGTTTGAGCCCTACTTATGTTGTCTCATTTCACAGTAAGTATTCAGTTTATGCATACATGGTGAGAAAACTTGTAAATCCTGCATTAAAGACTGTCATGGGCAAACATTTGGTACTTTTTATATGGTTAAATGTTTGGTATTTCCTATGTGATTAATTGCCTAAACAATGTTCAAAACTGGATTAACATTTCTGTTTATCACCTGGATGATTAGTGAACTTTCTGTTGAATTTCTTTCAGGTGACAAGTTGGAGTTGTTGGCTGACTTTGAGTAGGTAGCGGGTTGAACACAGCCACACTCACACACTTCACACACGACCTGAAGACCTGTGGTGTCTAGGGACAGAGGATTGAACAACTGCAGCTGAGAGGAAACGCGCACTGCGGACTTGGAAGGGGTGGAAAGCTGTTTGGCTTTGGACTAGAAAACCCCTTGTATGACTTGTGATTTCAGGATCCTCCTTTTGTTCCCACCTGTGGAACAAGACAGCAAAAATACATTCAGAGCATTACAGACTACATGATTTTGGGGGAAAACTTGTACAAAGTTGGACATCCCTTTTTTTTTTTCAAGAACAGGGATATTGAACAGCTCTTATGGACTCAAAGTGGAAACATAAAAATACTCCAACTCTAAAAGTTGAACAAAGATCATACTGAAGAAGTTGTTGCCCAGGTTCAGATAGTCTTAGTTGTTCTATTTCAGGACTTGAACCGCTTTGATACTTGTTCACATATAATTTTTCTATATTGTGGGCAAGTATATTCATGCATATGAATGCAAATTTCTCTTCATTTTGAAGAGCTCTTGTATAAAAATTTGTTTTTGTTCTCGTACGTCAGTCACTCTGTTGTTAAAGGGGATCGAACTGCACGTACATGTGTATATGTAAATACTACAAATTTGGACTCAAAGAATAGAGTATATTGTTTGTTAATACTTTATTAAACTTTTTTACTTTTGAAGAGAATTTTTAAAAAGGAAAAACCTCAGAGGCAAAAATCTAATACTTTGAAGGAAAAAAAATACAAGAAGAACAGGAAGAATGGCAACGGCCAGAACAGAAAATGTTGGCCCAGTCGTCATGGGACTGAGTAAGCAGAACGGACAGCTCAGAGGACAGACCAAACCAACTTCAGTCCAGCCTGCATCCACAACTCAAGGAAAGGCTTTGGGTGCACCCCAGAAAGCAAGCAGTGCCCCTCAGGATGCAGGAGGCATCAGGTTTGGAGATGACTGGAAAAAGAGCCTAAAGCTCCCTCCCAAAGACAACAGGGTCAAAACCTCAGTAAGTCGCACTGGATACCTAACTGTTCTATAACTTGTAAGTATGTTTCTATTGCCATACTAACCTGTGTCCAATTGCAGGATGTGACAGCCACTAAGGGCAATGAATTTGAAGATTATTGTCTCAAACGTGAACTCCTGATGGGCATCTTTGAAATGGGTTGGGAGAAACCGTCCCCTATCCAGGTAGGGTTTATTTCTATCAGTTTTTCTCAGCTAATCAGAGTAACCTGATGCATAAACAGATTTTATTGTTGTTGTCGTATTTGAAGCTGGGACCCTGTGTTTATATCGTGTATATAAAACTATTCAAAGGAAATTCTTGCATATTTATGTTATTTACATAAGGGCACCCAACTAGCTTTTGTGGCTAATTTAACATAGCTAGTTCAGTACATGTCAGTTATGTTAATAGTTTCTTTGCTTGTAAAATAGACTACATTTTGCTCTTTTATATTATTGCCCTTCACAGTAATTACTTCCCAGCTGTATTATAACCTCTCTCATGTCTTCTTGTGGAAGGTAACCTTTTTAATGGCTTCAACTACTAGTGGTTAAGGCACAGCATTCTCGGCACTGCGGCCCCTGTTCGAGTCAGGGTTGCGTCAGGAAGGGCATCCAGCGTAAAACACATGCCAAATGTCAACATGCGAGTTGTCAGGGTGACAATTCGCTGTGGTAACCCCTAAAACGGGAAAAGCTGAAAGTGACTTTCTAACTACTGTCCCTGTCACGGTACAGAGAAATATCCAGTTGGTTGTTTGGTTAACTTGGAGATGCTCTCAGTCACACAAACGTTCATCTAAACACTGATTGTTGATTGACAGGTCATTGCTGTTGCCAGCTTACATTGCATTTTGAGATCAAGGCACCTCTCTGTTATTGTTTTAGTACAGAAAACTCACCATTGTTTGTACATAGATGTTTTCCTTTTTCACTTTTTCACATTCATTCAGATGAGAGAACCATGTTACCATAGTGACAAGATGAAACTAAAGATAAAATGGTTTAAATTTTTTTTTTTTTTTCTGTTCCTTGCAGGAGGAGAGCATTCCCATTGCCCTGTCTGGACGGGATATTCTGGCCCGGGCTAAAAATGGAACAGGGAAAAGTGGAGCCTATCTCATCCCGCTGGTGGAGAGGATAGACCTGAAAAAGGACCACATACAGGGTGACCCCCCCCCCCCCTTGTTTTTTTTTCACTCATCACATTTCTGATCAGTGTTTGTCCTCAGTCGGGCAGCTGTCTTCTTGTCCTGTTAGTGCTGTAGGATGCATTCACTTTGAAATCATTTATCAATTTTAATTGCAATCTTTCTTGTATATTGTTGTTCTTCAGCCATTGTTATGGTACCCACTCGTGAGCTGGCGCTGCAGGTGAGCCAGATCTGCATCCAGATCAGCAAACACCTGGGAGGAGTCAAAGTCATGGCCACCACCGGGGGCACCATCCTACGTGATGACATCATGCGCCTGGATGAGACTGGTAAGAATCCACTGGGTCTTTTCACTGACCTCCCTTGTGGCTTTTTATCCAAACAGTGCAGTGTCATGTGTGGACAAATATCACACCAATACAAAAATCAGGCTGATCTGTACGCTGGCTTGTGGAGTTCACCTACCTTATAAAACATCCTGCATTGTAGAAAGGACAGACGTTTATAGATATTGTTGCAGTACCTTTAGTTTGTCAAAGTAGCAGTGTTAAATTTCCAGTTGTAAAGATGTTAATGTTGTGCACAGTGCAAGTGTGATTCTCTCCTGTTTTCCACATCAGTGCACGTGGTCATTGCCACACCTGGCAGGATCCTGGACTTAATAAAGAAGGGAGTGGCAAAGGTGGATAAAGTCCAGATGATGGTTATGGATGAGGTAAACACGAACGTAGTTGTTTAAAAAAATACAGTAAAATCTGCATGTAATCAGGAGTGTATTGTCAAAATAGTGTTTGACATGGAAATGACTCAAGTCTTTATTCCATTTTCTTTGAAAATGTGTTTTTTGTTAGGTTGGAACTGAGTCTGCTTCATGTTAAATTGTCTCCATTTCCTCTCAGGCGGATAAGCTGCTGTCTCAGGACTTTGTGGTGCTCATTGAGGATATCATTGGCTTCCTGGCCAAGAACAGACAGATCCTGCTTTATTCTGCAACCTTCCCCATCAGTGTGCAGAAGTTCATGGTAAGTAGTCGGCTAACTGCTGCACCGTTCGTCCAGGCCAATGGCTCAGGGCCACTTGGCACCACTCAGCCTGCACTACAGGCCAAGCTGTGCTCCCACTGCTCCCAGTTCTGTGTTTGTCTGTTGTAGACTTTTCAGCTAGCAGTCACAGGATTTGAATGTTGAGAAAGTTGAAAGTATGTCAAAAGTCTTCCTGTTACGCAGTTGTTAGAAGATATTTAAAATGTACAGTACAGATGTGAGTACTTCTTTAATCTCAGTATTTCTAGTGTTGAATTCCTACAGCACAGAAAAATTGTAAATCTGACCCAAAAAAACCCCTCACGACGTCAGGTTTTACTGAACTGAGAAAAATTGTACAGGATTGTACATGTGAAATCACTGTAATACTCTCTTTCCTTGTTGTAGGCCAAGCACCTTCAGAAACCCTACGAGATAAACCTGATGGAGGAGCTGACTCTGAAGGGCATTACTCAGTTCTACGCCTACGTCACTGAGAGGCAGAAAGTCCACTGCCTCAACACACTGTTCTCCAGGGTAACGGACTAATTCACTGCTGGTGCAATAGAAACTGTGCAACCTGCACTCACAAACACACATCTTTCCACAAGGGAATGGTGCAAAATACTATGTTGTCATAAACACAAGTGGCCTGAGTGGCAGCAGATACAGAAATGTTTGTTGAAAAATCCCATTTCCAGACATACCATGGTTGTAGTTCAGTGGCTGGAATTTATTATTTTTGGAGAATTTTATGAACATCTTCAGTTACTTTTTAAACAGTACTTTTGTCAGCTTCATGTTTGGACCAGGAGCCATTCAGGTCATAAGGTTGATGCGATAGCAGTTCATAATCAACACCCCCTCCCCCCTCTTCCACAGCTTCAGATCAACCAGTCAATCATCTTCTGCAACTCCACTCAGAGGGTGGAGCTGTTGGCTAAGAAGATCACTCAGCTGGGCTATTCCTGCTTCTATATCCACGCTAAGATGATGCAGGTATCGGCTGTAGTGATGTAGCTTTGAGGCTTTTCTTTACCAGTTTGCCATTTTTTTTGCTCTGTGAACAAATGTGCTTTTTAAAATGTATTAATTATATGCTATTTGTGTTACTTTTTTGAACATAACGAATAGGTGGTTTTATTTACACAACATAAATTGGATAAGTAACTTTTTTTTACTGGACTATATAAAGCACTGAGCAAAGAAATGATGAAAGGTAACAGTCTGAGTAAACAATGAATTGGATTATTTTGGAACTAAGCACTGCATTAAAACATGTATAAATGAGGCTATTTGTCTTTAATTGTCTTAAGGCAAAATGCATTGGATGTTTTAAGATCTTTTTTTGTGCAGTATTGTGCATGGCTGATATTGTCATCGTCTTGTTGTTTTTCAGGAATATAGAAACCGTGTATTCCATGACTTCAGAAACGGACTGTGCAGAAACTTGGTCTGCACTGGTGAGTTTCTGTGGCATACTCCAACACTTAGAGTACAGGGTCTGGAATTAATACCCGCCAGGCGCTAAATGTGGGTAGATTTTCCATTTGGAGAGTAAATCGGAGAAGACTACCGGCTTTACTGGCAGGTTAGGGTCATGTACTAAGACAGTATCCTGAGAGTCTCTGCTCTAGGTGGCCTACTTTTGTATGTACCTAAGTTTGAGATGCACACTCTCTGCCTCTGACTTTCTGAGCTAAGTGTAAAAATGTGCTTTAGGTCGCTGTTACACATGTAAAGCGTGGGAGATGCATGGCCCGAAAAATGGGCAATGTAATCGATTGTATCGGTTACACATGTTGCAAAAACAGCTGAAATGTTTTCGGTGCAGACGTGGAGCAACACCTATTGTCCTGTATCGGTTACACATGTTGCAAAAACACAGCTGAAATGTTTTCGGTGCAGACATGGCGCAACACCTATTGTCAAAGTCTGTCTTAGCCTATCATCTGACCATAACCATAATTTTGCTTTGACCTCTGCTTGTATTCAACATAATACCTTATTATCTCAATGAAATCCTGAAGCAAATATGTATAGTATGTGACACAAAAAGACAGTTTTCTATGTTTGGCCTTTGGCTTTTTTCCATCTACCAGCCACCTTGGCCGGTGAGTCAAAAGGTTAATTTCAGAAATCTGAATGATAATGTTGTTATTCTGTTGTCTACCTATAGATCTCTTCACTAGAGGTATTGACATCCAGGCTGTCAATGTAGTCATCAACTTCGACTTCCCTAAGAACGCTGAGACTTACCTCCATCGTATCGGCAGATCAGGTGTGGTCACTTATTAATACTATGAACCACTCCTGTACATTTACATTTTATTCATTTTAAATGGGTAAAATTAAATCTACATCAGTGTCAAAAGGGGTGTGAATATTTTCTGAATCCATAAAGTTTCATGCTCCTTTGTAGAAACTGGTTTGCAAACAAGATGTAGGCTAGGAGTACAGAATCAGGTAAATCAGAACATGAACAGCGTGTACAATGCATCAGCAGCTTTTTAAAAAAAAAAAATTTATGCAGTACAAGTTAGTTTCTTATTTTTCAAACCTGCACTAAAGCAGTGTTTGTGTAGCAGTGCTTCACATTGGATGACATCACCAGTGCTCCATCTGCTCTGTTTGCTTTGGAGTTTTTCCCAGAATGCAGGATCTGAGTTGGCTTTCAATTTGCTGTAAACACTCAGTAAAAGCTAGTCCTTATTGTGAAAAGATTAGATATGATGGGTGAAGGATGTAATAGTGAATTTTTATACTAAACATGTTCTCCTACTTTCAGGGAGGTTTGGCCACCTGGGCTTGGCCATAAACCTCATCACATCAGAGGATCGCTTCAACCTGAAGGCCATTGAAGACCAGCTGGTCACTGACATCAAGCCCATTCCAGGCAGCATCGACAAGAGCCTCTATGTGGCAGAGTACCACTCAGTCGGCGCCGACAGTGGCATGGAGGAGGCCGAAGAAAAACCGGGACGCCAACAGGACAGCACCTAAAGCAGGTGAAACACTTTGAGATCATTTTTAGGCTTTTCATACATGAAAATGTAAGACACATCTTCCTAATCTTGGTTTTGTCTTCTTTCAGGACGTTAGGAAACACCAGGCCTTTTGCACAGATGTCAGCGCTTGCACACAGGCTTCAAGCAACGCTTTAGTTTCACATTTCTCATGTTTTCAGTCTAGGAAACGGATATAAAGGCTGTTTTTATTTTTAGACCGTTCCTCAGCTTTTCCTGAAAAAGAGCTGCCGCATTGTTTTAATTCACTGAAAAGTCAAACTATTGTTTTGCCCCAAACACAGACTAAACTGTCCTGTGTTCAAGCTTAGATAATTTTTACTCTCGAAGAATGTGTGTGTGTGTGTGTGTGTTAGAGCGTGGTGACTGTTGAAACAAAGACAGCAGAGCCGATGAGTATCAAAGCTGTTTTGAACCTGTTGTCCTTAGAGACTCTTATCATTGCCAGTCATTCTGTACACACACACACACACACACTGCTGTTGTCACTTAGTGACAACAGCAGTGTGTGTTGTCCCCACATGCTCCTACATGCACTCATCCATTCATAGTTGGCTGCTTCTGCAGCAGAGTACGAGCACAAACAAGATGAAATAAATAACTATCCAGATTGTATTTAAACATCTGTTATGCAAGGGAATAAAACACTCAGACACACTCTCCTGCTGAGAGGTGTCGAAACAACTCGCTCGTTGAGAACATCCCCGAATGCTTTTCTTTTAATGTGAACCATGCAATAAAAAGGGCAGCTTTATTTAAATACGGCGTGACTGTTTTTCCCCTTTCACTATGTATAGTACATGAGCAGAGTTATTATGAGAAGACGGCCTAAAGCCACAAGCCTTCGACTGATCGATGTTAGCCTGCAGCCACACAATCAGCATGGGAAATGAATAGCAGCCACCTGCTGTTGCTGGTTAGTTTTCCTGCAGACAGCTGCTGCTGCTGTTTGGTTTGTTTGCATAAAAACACATTTGGGCGGTGGATACTGTAAAATCTATCGACCACAGTAACTAGTTGTTGTTGATCTAGTGCGACTGATGCATTAGAAGGTTTGAAGCAGTTTTGATAGTGACATTTACCATTTCTACACTGACAAGTAATGGAGTATCAGTCGGTGCAAGAGATGAAGGTTCATAGGGTTTTTGTTGACGTTGGTGCAAAACAATAGTTTGAATTGTCTTTTTCTTTTTCCACCCATACATTCAGGTTTCTGTTACAGTGTGGAAACATCAGGTCTGTAAGGCAGTTTTACAAATCCCAAGGTAACCTTTTCTTTTTAAGCCCCATCATGGCAAAATTGGAGTTTGTGAATGTGTTAATGCAGCCCAGTGGTTACCAAGCTCTTTGTGTTGCTGCTCTTGTATTAGAAAACCACCTTTAGACTATGCTTTTATGAAACCGCATCAAGGGTATGAAATTGTTTTATGGACTGTAGTGTGTTGAAACCTGCTCAGTCTGTCAAAAACCATATTGAGCTTCAATTGAACGACTAAAATCCATAAAAGTTCACTTTTCTTTCTTTTCTTTTCTGCAGCAGCAGAGATGCGAATTTATTTTATTTTTTTTTGTTTGTTCCCCCAGCACAGCTATGTTTTATCACTTCACTCTAAAAATGTATTATCTTTTGTAAGGGGTGGACTGTTTTTGAAAGCAAAATTGTAGCATCTTTAAACAGGCAGCTGTGACTTTTCTTTTTTGTCCTCCCCTTACAGAGCATCACTGATTCAAAATGAAAAAAAGTATTTTTGCTTTTTAAGATTTATTTTGATGTTGCTTAAAGCAGTTTGGGGGAGGGCACTGTGAGGCTTTGGCACTGGGTAATTTCTGGAGCTTTTTTTGGGGTGGGTTTGCAGAAGCCAGGTGTTTTATCAGACGCTCTTTAGGCGTCTTGAATCTTTCCTTCCCTCTGGTACTTAAAGCAAATACAGAAGTTGTTTTTCCCTCAGAAGTAAACAGAACACCTTGTGCGCTGCTTGTTTTAAATACCAGAGAGTGCCAAGTTGTACAGCAGAGAGTTTCAGGAGAGTGAAGCACTGTGATCCTCTTGAACCTGTTCCGCATTTATGTGATGGATGATCGAAGTGCTGTGATTCCCCCCCAACTTAACCTGTTTTCGACTAGGGCAATCTTCATACGAGGTGTTGTGAATCATTTTGAGGAAACAAAATTGTAAATGATTCATTGTTTACAATTAGGGACAAAAGAAAACGCTTTGCTTCATGGCAGAGGGAGAAGTTAGTTTCCTTTTGTTTTCTTTGAAAGAGATTTTCAGGACTTACACTGAAGCAAAACCAAAAAAGTGGGATGTCAAATGAGTGTGTGAGACATTCAGGTGTGTGTGTGTGCTGTTTAACTTGCAGGCAACTGTCTAAACAAGGTGTGTAAAATGTGTTTGCAGCCATAACAGGCTGTTTTGTTTTGTATCATTATGTTTAGATGCAAGCTTCAACTAAACCATTTCTGAATTCACAGTTTGTCCCTGGGAACATCACTTTGAGCAGAACTGCAGCCAACATGGTTCCTTATGTGCACAACTGTTAATTTGGAATAAGTGTTTGAAGCTGCATGTAAGCATAACAGGTTTTCATGTGCAGACTCATCTTGGTTTGTTTTTTTTGGGGGGTGGGAGACAATGTTGTCTTAAATAGAATGGATGTTTACAGCTGTCAGGGACATGATCACTCTCCCACCCCCTTCATCCAGGAGTTTGTAGACAAAAATCACTCAACCCAAAATTTCTCTGTTGATAAATTTTCCACTTTTTTTTTTTTTCTTCTGCCTGATGTTTTTTGTTCTTGATCACGTCCCTGACAGTCATTCCATGATCTCTTTTGTGACCCCCCACACAACAGAGATTAGATGTAGCTGAACCTGTCGAGGCTCTTGGCTGGTGTCAGCAGCTGTTTATCAGATGTCATCACTGACATTTGCCTGGCGTTGTCTCCCGGCGCGCACAAAGGAAAAACTGCCCTTTATTACAGTTACAGCAGTGTTTCTTCTGTATGGATAGAAAAGATGTTACAACTTCTAATTGGCTCTTGAATCTCTGTGGTTGGAATGTAGGTGAGGCTAAATTGCATCAGTATTTCGCTACAACATGGATAGAAAGGAGTTGAAATCCAGTGTCTGAATTGGCTCAGAAAATGTTGGTTCAGTTTGCTCCTCTTATGTAAGAATTCGGTTTTCTTTTCAAAAACTGCTCCTGGAGTCAGTTTCTTGGGTTCACTCTGTTTCTCATACAAATTTCACTGTCACATTAAAGTGAGTTGCATTATTTTGGACTTGAAATCCAATAAACTAAAACAAGATTTCCTGTTTTGGAATCGGTAATTTTGTCCCATTTTTTTAAAAATCACAGATTTAAAACCTCAATTCTGATTTGTTGGTACTGCAACAATGTCACTATTACATTTTCTTTTTGTCTGTTATAAAAAAATACATTGAAAATACACAAGGTATTTCAGTGACTTGTGTTGATCACTTTGTCCTCAACTGTTGTAACATGGAAATACATGCAGGGGCTCTGAAATTGAATAAATTGAACAGAAATTCACTTTGTTGGCTTGTCATTCCACCTGTGGTTAAATATACACCTGTGCTTCAAATAGATTATTTTAGGTACCTGATGTCTTCAATATTTGGAGTTTTACTGTCAGTTTTCCTTCAATCTGTAAACAATGTTGAACTCTTTGGAAGAGGTAAACATAGTTTCTAATAACATCTTGCTGTTCTGTGGAGACTGAATGCACATCCTGCAAATGAAAAGGCATAAATAGCAGGTTATCTGCAGATCTTGAAACATCTAAAAGCACTAGTTTCAGTAGCATTAAAGGCTTGCATTACAATTAAGCCTGTGTAGGTTTATAACAAGTATGGTAAATGGTCTTATACTTGTATAGCGCCTTTCTATGCTTTTACAGCACACTCAAAGCGCTTTCACATTATTCGGCCATTCGCACTCCCAAGCACTCACGCATTCGCACACCGGTGACATCACTGGGAGCAAATGGGGGTTCAGTGTCTTGCTCAAGGACACCTCGACATGTTGACTGGACAAGCCGGGAATCGAACCGCTAATCCTCCGGTTAGGAAACGACGCAGATGCACATTAT